TTTAAAAAAAAAAAATGTGCTAAAGAATTATTTTTAATTGATATTTTGATTTTCAACAAATATCAATTAAACTGCATATATACATATTTGTATACATTTTTTTTTCCATTGGCACGACAACCCATTATTGAGTCCTGGCCTCCTCGAGCAGCTTCCACCAGTTTAATCGATGTTGTGCAGCTACCCTCTGATTCCAAATTCCTAGCAGGGTCCTCGAGTCCTCTTCAACACAATCCACCCATTGAGTTTAGGGTGGCCTCTCGGTCAGGTGCCATAGATTTTTTCTTCTAGGAGTTTTCTTGGAATCTCGTGGGGTCCCATCCTGATAACTCTTCTACATCAGGCTCGCTAAGCAAGATGAATACTTCTTGATTAGTTTGCCTTCTCCACCACACTGAGCCATTCTTAATTGGGCATATATGCGTCTTAGAATTTTTCTCAAATGTTAGATCTCTTTCACCATTCTTCGAGAATGCTCATGTTTCTGCTGCATAAGTGAGTACTGGCCTGATCGGTGTCTTGTATAGTCTTGTTTTTGTAGCTCTTGATATCAGGCTGCTACCTATATGTCGATGTAGTCCAAAATAACATCTATTGGCTGATGCTAATTGCCTCTTTATCACATCTGAAACTTTGTTACCTACATTAACTTGTGATTCTAGGTACTCAAATTCATTGACTCGCTGAAATGAGTAAGGGCCAACTTGGACAGAATCTTCATCAGGATGTCTAGGCTGGCCAGCAATCATATATTTGGTTTTATGGCTATTAACAGAAAGTCCTAGTACACGGTGGGCCAGACCCCCTTACCGTGCACCCCCCCCACATCCCTATAAATTGCATATCTTTGTGTTCCTTGTAACAATTTATTAAAAAAAAGCCAATGTTCCCACAAAAAAAAGTGAACGCACTGCCCCAAAATGGCGTCCAAAGATGGCGGATTGACGACTTTGACTTTAGTTAGTTTTTTGGTCACTGAGAATCAGCATTTGGCTTTATTTCCTCATAGTTGGTATTTTATTAAAGCTGAATATAAGAAATATAAAAAAATAATTAGCTTAGACTATGAAAAACACCAGTAAAGTCAACTTTTTTAACAAAAAAATTTTCAAGTTACAAATCAAGCGTCGTTTGTAATTAAACGGTCTACAATAACGCAAAACGTGCTGAAATAAACCATCTGGAGAATATATTTCTCTTTCTAAAACGCTGATTACTTTTTAAAATATTTGAAGCAGTTCCGTAGAAAATACACTTATGGGGCAGAAAAGCGGTACTGGCGTGGGTGCTTACAGGCCTCTACCACACCATTCAGTGCCCATAAATGGCTTAGTTATAGTGATATAATAACATTTTTGGTACATTATATTGGTTTAATTAACGAACAAATATTAATGCAATAATTTAACTGTAAAAAAAAAATTATTAAAAAAATTATTATTTTTTTTTAATTTAACCTCCTTTATTCTATACATAGGTCGTTTAAGAAGACCTCAATTGTAAAAATGATATAATTATAATAATAAAACTTAATTAAAAAATAATTTGCTAAATATCTTGATTTTTTTTTTATTTAACGTTTGCAATTTAACACTGAATTTGATATATTTACTGAATCTTAGAGGTAATTAAAATTGTTATATACTTTCCAGGAAATGAGTCATATTAATACCTGTTTTATAAACTAAAATAATATATACCTAATCTGAACTATATATAATGAATAGCTGGCTGGTTGTTTAGTAAAACTCATATATCACTAATTAAAAAATTAATTTTTATTTCCTTTATTTTGTGCGGAAGTTGGACTATATCATAAATAAATAGGAAATTTTAATATTAAATGAATTATTCTCTCTGCACAAAGAAAGATAGAAAGGGTGACGCTATAAGTTCTTCTATAAACCAGAACTGATTGTTTGTTTTTGATCTCAAATTGAGGAAAAACGCGAAATTGAACCAGAAAATTGGAAAAATACATTAAGCGAACGAGAAAGGAAGTGCCAAAACCTCGGAAAAGATAAAAAGGACCAGTATCCATTATATAGCTAAATGAATCTATAGTAGACAGATGAACAGAATATTTCAAGATGCTGCTAAAAGGGGTCAATTGCAGTTTGGATGATATTAAGTGGACGATGTAGGTTTATTATGGTGAAATCCACTTTATTTTCGATTGCTACTGAAGGTGCACACTGGGACTATCTACACTTTGAAGCAGGATATAGAGAGGTATATCGAGAAAGTTATCGCTCATAGCTCTCCTTCTGTTTGATTCATTTGCTAGAGATTTTTTAAGGAATCTTATATTAGTCATAGCTCGTTATTGTTCAGAAATTTCGGAATAAATTGTTCTGAATTTGTACCATATAAAAAAATAGGAAATTTTAATATTTCAATTCATTATTCTCTCTGCACAAAGAAAGATGGAAAGGGTGAAACCCAACTGCTTCGCACAGTTTTGAGCGTACATAGGCAACAAGTACAATAGAAAATGATATGAAAGGACTGTGGTTTTTACCTTTAAAAGAAAGGAGATACTAGGAAATGTAATACCCATCAAGATCCATGAAGCAGGATATAGAGAGGTATTTTTTAAGGAAATGATTTTTTAAGGAATCTAAAAGGAAGACGAGCTTTTCTGAAAGACAATTACATATTAGCATAATCCAAAGTGTGAGGCACTAAGCAGATAGAGAGCTATTATTCATTTTATATGGACTTCTCTATAAGTGAAGACAGTCCCAATTTTCAACTTCTCTTCCAATGTGCAACTTGAGTTTCTCAATCCATATCGCTCTGGCAATCGACAATATTTCTTATTCCAGCTTCTACAATTCTTGAGTATAATTTCTTTGGTACACTAAACAGGAATGGATCTTGATGGGTATTGCATTTCCTAGTATCTCCTTTCTTTTAAAGGTAAAAACCACCTTTAAAGGTCCCAGTGTGCACCTTCAGTAGCAATCGAAAATAAAGTGGTTTTCACCATAATAAACCTACATCATCCATTTAATATCATCCAAACTGCAATTGACCCCCTTTTAGCAGCATCTTGAAATATTCTGTTCATCTGTCTACTATAGATTCATTTAGCTATATAATGGATACTGGTCCTTTTTATCTTTTCCGAGGTTTTGGCACTTCCTTTCTCGTTCGCTTAATGTATTTTTCCAATTTTCTGGTTCAATTTCGCGTTTTTCCTCAATTTGAGATCAAAAACAAACAATCAGTTCTGGTTTATAGAAGAACTTATAGCGTCACCCATTCTATCTTTCTTTGTGCAGAGAGAATAATTCATTTAATATTAAAATTTCCTATTTATTTATGATATAGTCCAACTTCCGCACAAAATAAAGGAAATAAAAATTAATTTTTTAATTAGTGATATATGAGTTTTACTAAACAACCCGCCAGCTATTCATTATATATAGTTCAGATTAGGTATATATTATTTTAGTTTATAAAACAGGTATTAATATGACTCATTTCCTGGGAAGTATATAAAAATTTTAATTACCTCTAAGATTCAGTAAATATACCAAACTCAGTGTTAAATTGCAAACGTTAAATAAAAAAAAAATCAAGATATTTAGCAAAGTATTTTTTAATTAAGTTTTATTATTATAATTTTATAATTTTTACAATTGAGGTCTTCTTAAACGACCTACGTATAGAATAAAGGAGGTTAAATTAAAAAAAAATAATAATAATTTTTTTTTTAATTTTAATTTTTTTTTTTCAGTTAAATTATTGCATTAATATTTGTTCGTTAATTAAACCAATATAATGTACCAAAAATGTTATTATATCACTATAACTAAGCCATTTATGGGCACTGAATGGTGTGGTAGAGGCCTGTAAGCACCCATGCCAGTACCGCTTTTCTGCCGCATAAGTGTATTTTCTACGGAACTGCTTCAAATATTTTAAAAAGTAATCAGCGTTTTAGAAAGAGAAATATATTCTCCAGATGGTTTATTTCAGCACGTTTTGCGTTATTGTAGACCGTTTAATTACAAACGACGCTTGATTTGTAACTTGAAAATTTTTTTGTTAAAAAAGTTGACTTTACTGGTGTTTTTCATAGCCTAAGCCAATTATTTTTTTATATTTCTTCATGTTTTATTATTCTATGACTATTCAGCTTTAATAAAAGACCAACTATGAGGAAATTAAGCCAAATGCTGATTCTCAGTGACCAAAAAACTAACTAAAGTCAAAGTCGTCAATCCGCCATCTTTGGACGCCATTTTGGGGCAGTGCGTTCACTTTTTTTTGTGGGAACATTGGCTTTTTTTTAATAAATTGTTACAAGGAACACAACGATATGCAATTTATAGGGATGTGGGGGGGGTTGCACGGTAAGGGGGTCTGGCCCACAGACTATAGCTTCTTAGCAGCATTTTCAAGTGCAAGGAAGGCTTTTTCTACTACAACTTTTGATCTTCCAACAACGTTGATGTCGTCAGCATAACCCAAAAGTTTTACTATATGATTAAAGATTGTTTCACTGGTCTAGATCTTTGAATTTCTTATAGCTTTTTCTAATCCAATATTGAAAAGCAAACAGGCAAGGGAGTCTCTTTGTCGAACACCATTATTAGAGGTGAATCCTTCAGATAGATCTCCTTGTATTCATATTTGATATCACCCATCATCAGTTTTACCAGGCAGTATTTGTATACATACACTTATATTTAATTTGTTAGCAACTATCCTTCAAAGCAAAGCTAACTAAACTATAGATAAATTCATTGATTTTTAATTTTTTGGCTAATTGAAATACATTATATGAAAAGAGTGAGTGTATGCAGACTGGTTCTAAAGATAGGGATGATAACTTGAAATGTTAAATTTTTAATGTATTTATTGAACTAATTAAATATAATTATGAAGGAAGGAATATGAAAAAAAAAAATTTAAAATAAAAGTATTCATTATTTATTATCATTTTGTTGTAAAACATGCTATATAACATTGTTATTTCTTGCTTCCAGGGTTGTGTTCATAAGTTTACATTTGATCTTCAAGACCAGTTGGTGATAATGTGTGCAGTCGGTCTCGGTTTCAGTGTAATTGAAATATTTGGAATGATTCTATCGTGTTGTCTATATGTAAAATTAAAAGATGACGACTGACAGGATCGAGTCAGTTTATAACTTTTTTAAGTTTCAATTAGAGACAATGGACCTTTGCAGATTATTACTTTAGTTTGCTTGATGATATGAAATGATTGCTGCATTTTATTAATTTTATATAATTAAAATCATGTAAAATTATTTATTTATTTTTAGTTTACTGATTTAGAATAATAAATTGGCATCAGAATTTGTTATGATAATTATCCTTAACAAAATTGAAATTTTCCTTGTATATTATTATAGATCAAAGCATCACAATGTCTACCGTTAATATTTCTTTTTATTGAGTCTTATAATAATTAAATACTCCATATCTGCTAAAGAATGATTCCCTTTAATTGATTTATAATTGTTAATTAATATTTAAATTGTTTGGTAAAAAATGTGATTATAATCTTATAGTCAATAAATAAAAGAAACTGTCTCATGTTTTAAATGTGACTCAGACAAAACCATTCTTTTCTTACTATTTATCATATTAGGTAGTTTTTTTTAAAACATTTACTAACTTAATTTTCTTTATTTTTAAAAAAGTAACAGTACCTCTAAAAATCTTAATATTTTATTTTATGAAACTATTTGATGCCTATTGCCAGTAAGCGATTCTAACAATCTTATTTTACCTTACAAACATTTATAGCCAATTTAAAAATTAATTAAATCAATAGATATATCAGTTATTAGAAATTTTCCATTTTTAAATATATCTTAAGTCAAACATTTTTAAATTCCTATTAAACATAGTATTACCTTTGTTGTGAAGAATTGTAATAATAGATGCTGATTATTGGAAAAATTGCTTTGCTTATCATGATCTAATAACCTAATTGATTTTTAAAATTTTGTTATTTTGGACATTAAAATTGTGCTATATTTTTGAAATTGCTGTATTTTATTTGGTCTTTTAATCTGAATACATGTTTATCTATATCTATGATAAATTTTTATCTATATCTATGAATTATTGAAATATTTTTATATATTAATCACACAACAAAACAAAATTGTACATAATTGTATATAGATATTAATATTATTTTCATGATGAATAACGTAAATATTTGTTTACTTGAATTGTACTTATTAAAAAAATATTTGGTTATGATGTATAAAATTATTTTCAGAATCTCTTACTAAATAAAGAATGAAATAAATATAATGTACAAAGTTATACAACTTAGATATTTAAGAGAAGCCTTTATAGTTATTTCTAATTTTAATATCTAAGCAGAGAAAATATGTGTCCATCAAAACATTTTAAATTTATTACATAGTACAAATCGAGAGCCTCCTCGCAAAAGCTTGTTTGTGCAAATTCTTAAATTATTCACAAGAAGAAATAAACAAACAATAAATAGAAATAAATTCTATGAAATGGTATGCCATTATTTTAGCTTAATTATAAGAATAAAGTCTAGGTTTATTGTATGCACTAGATTTTTTGTTCAATTTTTATTGCTTGTTTAAAGTAAAGATGTAATGTCATAAATAACTAAAATGTTAATACTAATATCGTAATGTGTTATAAAATAGCATATTTTATGAATATGTGCAAACTCAAGATTAAGAAACTCAAGAAATAAAATTCCAATATAAATTATACATAATACAAAACATCTTAAGAAATGCATTTGATTTTGATAGGGAAAGGAAGATGACGTTATTGCCTGGGAGGGTGGGGGGAGGCTGATAGTCTAAGGCCGGCTTTGACTACTTAAAAAGAAAGATTTTAGATATTATACCTGAATGTTTCAACTCTGTTGTCATTTCATTTCTGTAGTGAGCTTATAGACATTAATTGAAACTGTTTCGGTTTTTAGAACAATTTCATTGTTTTCTGTATTGCAGTTAATTAATTTATTTAACCATGAAATGGTGTAATCTATAAATAATTATTTGAAGATTTTTATTTTCTTGATTTCATATCTAATAATTCTCAAATATTTCTTTAATTTATCATCTTTTTCTGTTTTTTATAAATAAATTTTAATTAATTATAATACATAATATTTATTATATATTATGCTTTCTAACTTATATGTTTTATTGGAATTGATTTGCATTTCTTTGTAAAGCATTGTAAGATAGTTTTAAGTTTAAATTGTTAATTTTAATTTATTTATTATATCAATAATAAAAATACAGTTGTGATATATTTCAAGTAAAATTCAAATTATTTTCATTAAGTTAGCCGAATAAGAAATAAATGATCTGTTTTATGGAATATACAGCTTAGTGATAAGTTAAAATTGAAATAATTGGATATATTTTTGTAAATATCTAAGTACCTGTACTTATAGAAAGGGTTCCTATGGTATCATTTGAAGGAAATAAAAAACAATTGTTACTTTATGTTGTAATATTTTTCTACCTTTTTTATCATTATCTAGATTAAATTATATTGTTTTTATGCAAAATATACTGTATAACTTTTTATGCTTATATATTAGGTTATACATATATATGTGAGTAGAGGGAAATATTTAAAAGATAGATGGTAGACAGAAAGATCTATAAAAAATTTCATATAAACGATTGCCCCATTTCCAGTAGAAAAGTAGGAAAAGTAGAATAAGATTTGTATTTTATTTAAGCTAGTCACTTTTTATGGTGAATAGCAAGCGATAACTTAAAAAATATTTGATTTAAGTAATTCAAAATTGCTAAATATTAAACTAGATAAAGTTTACTTCAAACTAAAGTAGAGTTTGTCATTGTTAAAACTATTTAAAGAAGACTATTGAGTGGACAATCACAGCTAAGTTAATTGATTTGAGGTTTATTAGGAAAATTTTTGAGATTTAATAAAATTTTTAAATATTAAATATAGAAAATAAAAATTATTTAATATCTGTAGGTGGTTGGCCTTGTCCCTCTACCATCAGCTTCAAATGCGAGAATAATACAGATAATATTAGTAGGAGAAGATGGTTGGTTGGTCGAATATGGTCAAAACTAAAAGACAAAGTAACTTGACATCTTCAGGGCTTAGAAAACTAACAGAAAATATGAGATGAATCAATACATATAATGGAATCAAGTAGGGGAAGTGGTTGAAGTAAAATCAAATGCATAAATATAAAATCATAAACATAATAGGATTATGATTTTAAATTTATGTATTATATGTAGAAATCTGTAATATACTTTTATACTATAGAAATAAAAAAAAAAAAAACTGAATTATACAGAGCTGAAAATATAAATAAATAATATAACTCATAATGATAATAGGTAAGTGGGAGGGTATGAGATGTAAATGAGAATAACAGAACGCAATCAACAAAATAAAAGCATCTACAAGTTTTTCTTTTTGGTTCTGTTTCAAACATTATTTCATGAATTTCATCAATCGTCTACTATAACTTCATTATAAATAATTACTATAACAATTTTAAAATCTTAAATATAACAATTTCATTAAATAATTTTTAAGAATAGTTATTTATATTTTTGTTTAATTACTTTTTCAGTTCTAAATGTCCTATAATTAATAAAAACAAGCAGGGAAGAATCAATATCATCATCATAATCTATTTTCTTCCAATAGTGCTATCCAGTGTGAGTTACTGTTTGCAGATTCTGGACCATGTCTCATTCCATTTTTGCAATAAATTAACTTTGAAGTATATTACATTTACAGGTTGGGAACACTGGCTCTGGTGGCCACATGTGTCCTCCAAAGGTTTTTGCGCTATATTAATTAATTTTATACTAGAATTAATTAATATTAAACTATTTCGGTTACGAAAAATTTAAGATTAATAAAATTAAGTTGAATAGGTGTGTGTGTGTGTGTGTGTGTGTGTGTGTGTGTGTATGTGTGTTTATTAACCTTACTGTGGCCTCTAATGATAAAAAGGTTCTCTATCTATGGTGCATGATAATAACCCATGAATGGTCTTGCAATATACTATAATTATCACTTATATAGTTTATTGAACCCTATTATTTTTTAAGTATATGAATGATAATGGAATGCCTGTGAAACTTTGACCATTTATATTCTAATCCATAAGAACCTGAAAGCTCCATATACCCACAACATTGCTCTGTGCACTCCCCTTCTATCAATCATCAACACTTCATCTGAGCCATCAGGTATGGAATACACCCTATTAGAGGAAGAAATTCTTTGAAAAATCCTTCTTAATCTATATCACAACTGTCTGGAAACCTTAACCAATTAAAAACTTAAAATTTATGAATCTCATTTTACTGTTTTCTCAGTTTATGAACTTGAGTCTTATTCAAACATCATTTATTTTTTCATGTTGTTCATTAAATGTTTTCTCATTTTTTATTTTTAATTTAGCACAAGTTTTTTTATGTTTTTTTTTTCACCCTCATTTTATTAAGATACAAAATACTAATTTAAGTTATTTTAAATAAAAACTTATTTTTTTTAATTCTGGGTCTACTGTTCCCTAAGAATAATAACAGAGTTACAAATTGATGGGTCTTAGTCTGACTTAGAATAATTTTTTTTTTTTTTAACTTATTTATTGAAAAATATTGCAATCTGTCTCTAGGACATTTATAATAGAGTTCACAGATCACATTCACACTCTATGTACAATAAATAAAATAAATTATACAGAAAAATAATATATATACAATAAATAAGAATATAATAACCTAAAAATAAATAAATAAATAAAAAGAACACGTACACACCTATATACAATATTTACAATTTGGCGAGAGAACTCCAAACCAGACTTGTCCCTCCAACTGTGGAGGGAAAAGTATGACTCCAGGAGTTCCCTGCACTTCTCTCTCAACCGCCTCACTAGGGCTAAACCCAGTGGGGATTGAGCAAGAGTGCTTTAGCCACATACACTCATATGTCGTGAGTGGAGAATCTGGCCATTGCCAGAACTCCAATATTTGTAACTATAAAAGATCGCGGGGCCACTGCCGTTTTAACCTCCTTGGAGGATTATATGGATGGATGGTGCTGGATAGAGATTGTGTAAAGGGATTTGGATGATGGGTAAGGTTCTGGTGGAATTTGGAGAATTTTGCTGGGATAAGGTCTAGGACAAATGGGATATTAAGGTCATAGTGTAGAGTTTTGTTGGTTACATAGAGCATTGACTATTGTTCGAAGGACTTTGGATTGGACGGATTGGATGCGTTTGATGTTAGTAAATTTTGCTGTTCCCCACAGTTCAAGTCCGTGAGTACAGATAGGTTTTGAGTATTGTCTTGTAGATCAGTAAC